AGAGCAGCATTCTCCATAGAGAGGCCTAATGTTGAATAATCTCAAGCCTTAGGCATGTTATGATGAAGATCGTAATTTGTAATGATTCGGGTTGTTTTCTAGTGTTTTTGTTTTTAATTTCGCGCAAATCTACACGAGGGTTGTCTGCGCTAGCCGTCCCTAATTTAGCAGTGTAAGACTAGAGGGAAGGTAGCTAGTCATCACCACCCACCGCCAACTCTTGGGCTACTCTTTTACCAACGAATAGTGAGATTGACCGTAACGTTATAACGCCCCCACGGCTGAAAGAGCGAGCATGTTTGGTGTGACGGGGATTGCGAGTCGAGCGCCCTAATCACCTGGCCATGCGGGGCATTTCCTGGTGAAGTCTGAATAAACTGGTTAACGTCCGCGGTATTAACTTAACAAACAGAAAGTAGTCATATCGTGATAATAGAATATTTTATACCTCCTCGTGACGTGTTAGGATTACTGACAGTTAGGATTACTGACGTGTTAGGATTACTGACAGTTATGATTACTGACAGTTAGGATTACTGACGTGTTAGGATTACTGACAGTTATGATTACTGACAGTTTTATTACCAAACTCAGAAACTGTTGTATTAACTTAACAAACAGAAAGTAGTCATATCGTGATAATAGAATATTTTATACCACCTAGTGACGTCTTAGGATTACTGACGTCTTAGAATTACTGACATTTTTATTACAAGTTAATTCCAGATATTGTGAAACAAATATAATAAGATAATAATTTATTTACAGTCGGGTATAAAATAGCAAGCAAGCAAGTACAATAAATAGCCACTACAGCGTAAAACACTAAGAACGGAGCTTTCGATACAATATAATATAATACCAAACGCTAGAACACAGCAAAAAAAAAAACTGTGATATACTAAGAACAGATCTTTTGACGTAACATAAAACAACGTAAAACTCTAGAACGCAGCAAACAAAGCGTAACATACTAAGAACAGAACTTCTGACGTGATATAACGTAACGTGAAAAGCTAGAACACAGAAAACACAGTATCATAACACAATGTAATTATTGATAATTTACATTAGAATTAATAGAAAAAATCATAAAATATAACACGAAAAATAATCGAAACTGGGGAAACTGCTACAAGATAACTATAGTAAAACGTATTAAATATATAACAAGAACAGTCTATGAAGAATAAACAGTCATTATTGCACTCTTTCGTGATAGAAGATGGCCAAAAGCTTCAGAAGGAAAATCAATTTTTTTTCCATCCTTACCATCTTTTTTTTTTCAGGAACGGACACCAAACAACGTTAACAAATTAAAATTTATTCTGTATGCTTCGACTCTCCAGGGGATGAAGGCAGCACCTGCCAACGAGATTAACATACGCTATGGGGTGAAATAAACATTCAGCGACAGGTTTTCAATGTTCGTTAAACATCCTGGCCATTTTTATGAACACTGTTTTATTACTTATGCATATTAATTATCTAAGCCTTTCGAAAAAGAAACGCGTCGTTCCAGACACGAATTGAAGATAATAGAATTTTTTTTTCTGTTATAACGATTTTTAGTTGTTTAATTTGTACTTCATTTATATACTTTCCTACTTTAGCGAAGAAAAAAAAATAGTAGAACAAAGAAGGATTCCAGTTTGTTTGCTTTTAAATAGTTATCGTTACAGATCCGAAAAAATCTTCACATTTACTCAAGACCTTTAGCTTCTGTTAATCAGAGCCAAAAGATCATAAGGCTTAGAAATAAGTGATGCAAAATATTATCAAAGCTTCCAAAAAGTTTTAATTGGTTAGGGGGTAATTTAAATAATCTGAAGATTATAATTCTGTACTTTAAAACTAAAGCAATATTTAAAACATTTATTTTATATCAGAGGTTCGATCCCCACCCTCTCTATCGGCTAATCATAAAATCATCGAATTTTAACAAATACTTTCCTTATTAATTACACTGCTTTATAATCTAAAGTTACTGTATGTTTGTTTGTTTTTTAATTTCGCGCAAAGCTACACGAGGGCTATCTGCGCTTGCCGTTCCTAATTTAGCAGTGTAAAACTAAAGGCCATCACCACCCACCGCCAACTCCTGGGCTACTCTTTTACCAACGAATAGTGGGATTAACCGTAACATTATAACGCCCCCACGGCTGAAAGGGCGAGCTTCAGATCGCGAGTCGAGCGCCTTATCCACCTGGTCATGCCGGGCCGCTAAAGTTACTGATTAATGAATTCTGATATTCACTGTATTACTATATACATATATATGGACGCGAATTTGCCCTATAATAGTGTGCTTATATTTGGGGCTAACAACATCACAAAATATTCCCCGCAGTTAATCTTTTGGGGATTTATAAAAGTGACAATCAATTCCTTATCGTTGTTAATGATTGTTAGGGCTGCCTTGCCCCTGGGGAGTAAGGACGGCGGCATATTGTCTCTGTAAATTTGCCTTAAATACGAAAATATAAATACTATTTTTTTATGCAATCTGCATAACATTAATGATATTGATTCTGTAAGTAGAACATAATAATAATACATTAATACTTTGTTGGTTCGGATAAAAATATTCGCATGTGAAACAAATTCTTTTATTAAATCAAATTACTCCAAGAGGACTCTGCTGTTGACGTGGGCCGTATGGACACTTAGAGCTTAGGACTCTGCGGTTGACGTGGTCCGTATGGTCACTTAGAGCTTACTTAATGCAATCTTCTCTTGATAAAACATGTACTCGAAAAAAGGAGTTGTTCTACGAAGAAAACCTCACCAGAATCTACCGCGTTTTTTTTTGGAAATTTCACAATATCAAAAGATGTATAAGTTCTTCACTATAAAACATATATAATTTAACAAAAACACAACTTCGCGTTCTTTTCTTTTGTGATTACCTTTCTTGTAAGTTTTTACTTGTCTGAAAAACATGATATTTACTTCGAGACTAGTTATTTAAGAGCATAAAATTCTTATTCAAGTATTTTATAGCCATGACAGCAATATAAAACAAAACAACTCGTATTTATATTTCAAAAATACTCTTTTTGATCGTAGTTAAACTTAAGTTACAGTAACAGTTCAAGAATTATATACAACTGATTAAGAGATTAAAATGTGTAGTAAAAATATACTCTTCAAGATAATTACTTGAAAGTGACTTTAGTCTACTAAATACGTGTTTTTCAGGGATTAAAATGTGTAGTAAAAATATACTCTTCAAGATAGTTACTTGAAAGTGACTTTAGTCTACTAAATACGTGTTTTTCAGGGATTAAAATGTGTAGTAAAAATATATTCTTCAAGCTAGTTACTTGAAAGTGACTTTAGTCTACTAAATATGTGTTTTTCAGGGATTAAAATGTGTAGTAAAAATATACTCTTCAAGATAATTACTTGAAAGTGACTTTAGTCTACTAAATACGTGTTTTTCAGGGATTAAAATGTGTAGTAAAAATATACTCTTCAAGACAGTTACTTGAAAGTGACTTTAGTCTACTAAATATGTGTTTTTCAGGGATTAAAATGTGTAGTATAAATATACTCTTCAAGATAGTTACTTGAAAGTGACTTTAGTCTACTAAATATGTGTTTTTCAGGCAGGGGTTTTCCTAGTGTGCTGTTGATTACAAATTGTACACCTGTAAAAATTGTTTGTTTGTTTGCAGTTAAGCACAAAGCTACACAATGGGCTATCTCAGCTCTGCCCACCACGGGTATCGAAACCCGGTTTCTAGCGTTGTAAGTCCGCAGACATCCCGCTGTAAGTTCGAGTAGATAAATGTTAAAAAGTATACTTAAGATTATCAAATTCCATTCCGATAAATAAATGTATATACTCCAATATTATTCATTTTTTGAATCATTTGTTAGTAGGCTTGAATATATGAGGTGCAATAAGGTGTCATGTATTAACAAATAATGAAGTTAAAATATAATTTTGCAGTTGAAGGAAATCCTCAGGAAAAGCCCTATTTTCAGGATATTTAAATATTAGTTACTGCAGTTCCAGCTTACCCCAAAATTCAAATGTCATCTGGAAGGTGTATATACAAATTTTAAATGTCAATTACTTGTTCTTAATAATAAAATGAATGAGTCAAAGTTGTATTAACACGTCGTTCTAACAGGCATCAATTTACGTATATACCGAAATTCAGTAAGAAACGAACGTGATTCGATTTAATCCTTTTGATGTTGTTTTTGTTTTTTTAGAAGAATTCATTCTGTTTTCTTAAACCTAATTGGTTTTAGTGATATGCATTTGAAATAGGTTTAGAATATGTTATCTTTCATTATGTTTGCCTGAAAATGATTCTTTAGCTTACTGGAAAAAAACTTTTATAAGGAAGAAAGGTTAAACGTATTACAAAAAGAATCGAGATCATTAATAGTTGGTTATTTGATTCAGTTCAAATTTTCCCATGACTTTTATGCTACTGTATCGAAAATTTAATTCGAGGCGAATGAAAGTTTATCAAACATTTCTATAAGAAGAACAAAGAATATTGAATGTCATTGTTAGGTGTTTATTTTTTAGCAGTTACTCTATTAACGTTGCTGGAATTAAGGAAAGGTCATAGGTTAGGCTTCTATAGGTCATAGGCTAGTTTTTTAACTCACCCAGTTACACCCATAAGAAAGTTAACTAGTCAGAAACAGCAGAAAGAAATGTAATATTCATATTAATTTTTTGTAATTTTTATTTGTTTACTGTCTCATTGACTTTGTGAATGTGACTGTTCAAAATTAAGGTCATGCTACTCAAAGAGAAACCGCAACTAAGCTTTTAGGCTTAGAGACTGCACATTTTCATACGTAATAAGAGCTGTCATTCACCATAACAGTTTTTTTTTAGGTTTAGGGCTAGAAAACTTTTGTAATAAGAGTTGACATTGGCCTTAATCGAGTTTGTCACGTTTAGGGCTTGTAGGCTTTTGCAATAAGAGCTGGTATTGGTTGGAATTGAGTTTATTGGATTTAGGGATCGCGAGCTTTTGTACATAATAAGTACATTGGTAAGATGTGTGAAAGGAATTCTGGAATAGAAGTTCCTGAGTTTCTTTTTGAGGTTCACACTTTAGGTTTTGTGACTTGAATGAGATTTCAGTGATCAACTAGAGAACAGATAACTACAAATGATACTGCTCAAGCTCTTGAAAAAAAAAAACGTTTTGTGTGTAACATAACCATTGAATACAGAAAAACTAATATCATTTATATTTTACAAACTTTCTATTGAAGTCGATAAGAGTGAACACGTGAAATCTTTAAAAATATTTGGCGAAAAAAATAACGAGATGTTAAAACTTTTATGTTAGAAACAGGTGTAGAACGTTCTTAACTTTTCTTATGTGAAAATATCCTTAGAACGTTCGAAACCTTTCTATGAAAATAGCAGTAGAGCTTTCGGAACAGTTTTGTGTGAAAATAGCTGAAGAACGCTAGAAAATACAAGAGAACGTTTGATAATTTTTTGTGCAAAATTAGGTGTTGAACATTCGAAAATTGTTTACTGACGTCAAAAATAAAATAAACCAAGAAGCAAAATTTTATGAAACACTCCGTTATCACAGAAATATGTACCAAAATGGATAAAGTGTTCAGAAAAAGATGTGTTAATACAGTGAAGTGTATATTCGCGCAGCTGGTGCCACATATACGTGTAAGATGGTAATTTATTATCTCAGAGGCTTAAAGTTAAGAAAAATCGAGGAGATATAGGGTTATTTTACCCCAGAGAAGACGCACACAAATACCGTTATAAAGATGATGTAGAAATGATGAATATTCGCGTATATTCGCGCAGCTGGTGCCACATATACGTGTAAGATGGTAATTTATTATCTCAGAGGCTTAAAGTTAAGAAAAATCGAGGAGATATAGGGTTATTTTACCCCAGAGAAGACGCACACAAATACCGTTATAAAGATGATGTAGAAATGATGAATCTCGAAATAAGCATCGTGATCATTTACCATTAGGATAGACGACAAAATGTGATCATTAGTGATCTGATTTCGTGGTTGTTGAACGCCAGCTATAATGTTATACGTGGAATCTCTGGGTGGGGAGGAAGGGGAGGTTAAGCAGAGGAAGGAGTAAACCTAATAGAAAGCTCTTATCCTAAAAGCTGAGACCAATTAATGGCAAAAGTCATTCCTAGTCTTTTCATATCGATCAATAGGTCTTTACGCACGCTGCAAGTGTAAGCTTTCAGACTTTTTTCGTTTACGGCGGAGAACCATTTTGTGATTATTTTCTATCTTTTTTTGGTCTGGCATGGCCTGGTGGTTACGACTATAAGGCCTGTCATGGCCAGGTGGTTAGAGCAATGAGTCCTGTCATGGCCT